TGGAGGGACAATGCAAGAGAGGAATACCCTCAATATGATGGATTGATTTAGTGACTGGGGTAATGGGGGTCAGTGTATCAGAGACAATAAGATTGGCACAGGATAGAGCAGGGCTTAGGGCTGTGGTACATAGGGTCGCTATGAGTCGCAGGTGACTCTATAGCACATAACAACAACAACAACAACATCATGATGTTGCCCCTTGGTCCAGTGGTGAGGATTTTTGTTTTCTTGATTTGAGATGTAATCCACATTGAAGACTGTAATCTCTGATTTTCTGCAGTAAAGGCTATAAATCTTCACTTTCTTCAAGCAAGGTTGTGTCATCTGCATAGCACAGGTTGTTTATGAGTTTTCTTTCTAATCATGTTCTTCATTTTTAATCCAGTTTCTCAAATTATTTTCTCAGCATACAGATTATTTAAGTATGGAGAAAGGATACATCCCTGACGTACACTTTTCCTGATTTTAAACTATGCAATGTTCCCTTGTTCTGTTTGGACAACTGCTTCTTAGTATATCTGTAAATTTCGCATGAGCCACAAATGTCCTGGGATTCTCATTCTTCTCAATATTAGCCATGATTTGTTATGACCTACACATTCAAATGCCTTGTGTTTAGTGAACAAAACACAAGTAAACATCCTTGTAGTATTCTCTGCTTTCAACCAAGATCCTTCTGACATCTCTCCAAGGCCTCTTCTGAATCCAGCTTGAACTTCCAGCAGTTTCTAGTTGCTCTGCTGTTCCAGTTTTATTTTAAATATATTCATTAAGATGTTACTTGTATGTAATATTAATGAATTGGTTGATAATTTCTGCAGTTTGTTGGACCACGATTTTTATTTCTTTTTTGGAATGGGAACACATATTACCTCTTCCAATCAGTTGTCTGGATGGCTGCTTTCCAAATTTCTTGGCACAGGTTAATAAGTATGTCCAGAGCTGGTATCAGTTTAAAGACTAACGTGTTTGAGCCAAGTCATGGAATTTTCAATTGCTTCTTATGCATCTAAAGGTTGAACAATAAATGAGGATAACAGAAAAAGAATCCATGTCTGATTTGTAGTACTGGTGAAGAGTACTGAATATACCAGGACTTATAAAAGAACAAATAAATCTGTCTTGGAGAGTGTGGAACCAAGGTGCTCCTTAGAAAGAAGGATAGTGAAACTCTGTTTTACACACTTTGGGCCATGTTATTAGGAGGTGCTAGTCCTTAGAAAAAAGACATTAGACTGGACAGATTGACACAGTGACTATAACAATGGACACAGGCATGGCACAGATCATTTGGATGGCACAGGATAGGGTAAAGGTCAGATCTATTGTTGATAACTATGAATCGCAGTTAACTCACTGACACTTAACAAACAACATATTTCTTCTTTGCTGGTACAATATTTCAGTTTCCTGCAGCTAGAACTATACTCATTCCAAACCTGATTATAGTAACATTAACCAATCACACGAACACTTAGCATGCTCTTCTTTTTTTAAAATTCCAGGTCTTTGCACACTTCATTTTTTGTGCAATTTTTTGTGGTGATTCTCCCCAACTCTTTTTTCTGTTTGTTGTTGTATACCCTCAAATCATATCCAACTGGCACAGGAGGAGATTGCCCTTCCTTCTTCAGCAGAGCATCTGATGGATTCAAATGCCTTCAGGATTGCAGTGCGGCTTCTTGCCACTAGGTCACTAGAACTCCCTCTGCACACTTCATTTTAATAGTCTGCTTTATCTTCTCAAGTTACCATCTGAAATACTGTGTTCAGCTCTCTTCATCCTTTCTTCTACTTGCTTTAGCTTCTCTTCATTCTAGAGAAAGTTTCAGCATCTTTTCTTTTCTTTTTCCCAGCATCTTTTCTGACATCTATTTTTGGTCTTTATTTTGTTTTTATTGACTTTTTATTTTTAACATGTATGTCATCCTACAACTCATCTGGTCTTCATTAATTAGTGTCCTTCTGTACCAAATCTGTTATTGATATGGTCTCTAAATTCAGAAGGAATATAGCCAATGTTGCTTTGACTCCTATGGGCATGGTGATTTTTTGGGATGTTTTTCTGGTTGGGGTTTGTTGGGGTTTTTTTTGTTTTTTTTTAGTTTAATCTTGAATTTAATTATGATCCATTCCACTGTCAGTTCCAATTTATTCACAATTGTTTTTTAAATACAAGAGAAAAATGGAGGCGTTTACCCTACAGGGTAGCAGGGGAATAACTTTTTCTAGTAATTAGGTTATAAAAAAATAACAAATGTCAAGAAACCTACCTGTTCCAATATCTTTACTAACACCAGGGAAAATGTCATCCTCTATATATTCAGGTATGCCTTTTTCATCCAGTTGCTCTTCAATTTTGTTAATTGTTTTTGTAAGAGAAAAGTCTGAGAAATCATCTGGAATTGCAACATCGTTGGCATTCTGTACATTAAAGTATTTTAATTTTGAACTAAAAACAAATATGCAAAAAGGAGATAGATATGATTTTTACCAGAATGAGAGCTGATAAAAATTGCTATAAATTTTAAATTTATGATATTCAGAATTCCACTTGGAAAAATGAACTCTTCTTTATAAAAGAAATGCAAACTCTGAAAATAAGAATCCCTTCTAATCATGAAATTGTTTATTATTTATAGATATTATTTACTATTATATACCTTATACATATATGTATTGGAGAAGAGTACTAAACATCCAATGGACTTCCAAAAGAACAAACAAATATGTGTTGGAGAGGGTGCAGCCAGAGTGCTCTTTGGAGGCAAGGATGATGAATCTTGACTTCACATACACTGGATATGTTGCTAGGAGGGACTATTCCTTGGACAAGGTACATGACACCTGGAAAGGTGGAGGGTTGGTGAAGGAGAGGTAAACCCTTGACAGGTGGATTGACACGGTGAGTGCTGCAATGGGCTCTGGTATGTCAGGAAGGGGGAGAATGGCACAGGATGGGAGGAAGTTCATATCTGTTGTTTATGGGGTTG